AGAAGGGGTAAACCAGAGCGTAGTGTGGGGAGGAGGGGGTTGGCAAAAAGTGCGGAAACCGTACAGTTTGGCGAAGCCATGGTGGATCGAGGGGTGGGGTATTGAAAAACGTGCATGAATCCGGCGGATGGGCCGGCTGCGATTGGACAGACGGCCACACGCAGGGAGAGGGTAGTTGCCCCCATCGGGTACGATCCACAAATAAGCCGGTATTCCACTTTGGGATTTTAGGACGTCGTCAGTCGACCTCGGGCATTCACGCGGAATTCGAGTCCGGGTCGTGAAAACGCGTTCACTTGTCATAGATACACACACGTTTTCCCTAGTGTCGTACCGCTCTTTCATAATTACTCATCGCTGTTAATCCCTCTCTCGATACACATCTCGTACGAATCGTTCGTGGTGATCTGGGATAAAAAGGAAACGAAGAGTTTCCTAGTTACTGTGTCACTGTGTGCAACGATCCAGGGATCAACTGGAACAACACGCGTCGTCCACCGAGCTGGAGGAAGCTGGATATACTCCAAGTTCGAGGTTTGTTTGATTATTTATTAATGAACGCTGATCGTCTTTCGCGATATTTACACGTGCGACTGGGTACGCGAGAACACGGCGATCTAACGCTAGCAGGAAAAGGATCTATACAAGGATTTCGAACGATCTTCGTTACTCTCTCCCGCGTTTCTTCATCGTTTTAGTATTCGATCATGCATTTTTTTAACAGTCGTTCGACTGTTTTCCTTGGATAAAATATAAACGTTTAGCTGGTTGGTGCGCGCGTGTCGATATATTCGTAACGACGTTGCTTTTCAGTTTCTTTTCCAGTCCTTTCTAAGAATATATATACGTATACACAGTTTATGTACACGTAAGCGTCGAAATTGGCCGTTGTTTAGTTTGCGTGTTTCGAAAAGTGTCGATCATACGGCAATGACATCGTGTACGGGAGAAACAAACACGGGGAAAATTCAACATGTCCGGATCGGCAAGAATGTCGGAAAAACAAACGTTCAATTTCTCGTGAATTTGGTCGCGGATCTCCTCCTCCTTAACTGTTCTTCATCTTTTTCGCCCCCCCCTTCCCCCCGTTAATTATTTTCTCGATTAAAAAAGATCGAGGCAGTCGCGAAGGACGAGAACTCTCCGATACGCCATCACGCCGGCGATGCTCGCGTGTGCAAACGATCAATGGAAATTTCGCGTTCGACGCATCGTTCTTCAAAATTTCACATTCATAATTCCAACACTCTTCCAATATTATACCATTCGCTGGGGCTTGATCGGTGGATTCCGAGCTTCGTACAAATAAACATTACGTCACACGATCCATCGTGGCTGGCAAAGTTTATCTTCGAATGTTGCATTCGATATGTTAATTAGCATAGTCGTATAACAATTAGCATTGTCCTCGGATAGACACTAACGAAATTTTCCTATTGTTACTCGTTGTTTCGCGTGCTTTCTAAATTGGTTTATCGTTCCTTTAAATATTTCCCGCATTTATACGCCCGTTGATTCTTACTTTCATTTGAAATTTCTCATTTTTCCCCCGGATCTGTATAATCGAGCATATTTCTAACTACGTATGTATCTACATCGTCCTTTTGCCGCAGGTTTTCTCTATTTATTGTTGTGATCGTGGCCAGGGATTTCGAAATCTCGCTCCTCTTCCCTCGACCTTTGCCAAAGTCTTTTTTCTTCTTGCTCGAGCGAGAAGCACGAAGGAGTCCGCTTTAATCGACTCGTAAACGTCCTTACTATGGAATGCGAGCGTTTCCGTGAGCCGCGTCGTCGGCCGAACAATTTACTCGACGCGAAATTCCTCCAGCATTATACACACGACGCGACGTCTCGATAACAGAGCTACCGAACAATTTCACGTTTTATCCTTGTTGAAATATCACGGAATAAACTATCCTTGCATACCACGCTCTGTATAATTAGTCACGTGAAAATTTGCCCAGGTTCGCGAAACGGAGGGTTCTCGTTGTTACAAGGGTTGTTTGACTCCCTCGGCGGAGAAGAGCCTTCGAGAAACTATAGCCGGGAAAGGCTGTCTTTTGGATTTTATTTATGGCCGTGGTCGTCTCGCGTCGGGGGTAATAGGACAATGAGATTTCTGGCAGAAGTCAAAAGCGGGATCTCCCAACCCGGTCTGGGTCTTCGAGCGTGCTCCACTTGAATAAATGAAGCACAACCTTAACCCCTGGAACCGTTTCCCGTCCTTACGGTCAGCGGATACGCGCTAAGAACAATAAATTATCTATCCTCTCGTCTTCCTTTATCGCCCGAATAATACACGTGTAATAAACTCGCGTACCTGTTACGCTCGGTAATTGACATTAATACGGTTCGCGGAGTTAATTGGTTAATTCCAGGTGTAAAGGAAAAAATTAATTAAAACGGCGATACGACGACGTTCCGAGAGCGTACCGGTAATGTTACCTTTCTCAGAATCGGTCGTCGATCGAAACAATTCTACCGTTTCTTGCCTAGTACTTGGAGCAAGTTATTAGCCTGACCATTCCCGTATAACCGGGGGAGGGGGGAAGATTTTGTTCTTCCAGTGTGTTCAGGGCAAAAGGACGAGGAGAAGTGGGGGGAGGAAGTAGCAGGCAAACATTGTGAAATGAATTTACCCAGAATTTGCCTTAGAATAGACTCAGGTCGTACCCTTTTTCGCGGAAATTCGCACAATCGCGGCCAATAGCAACCCTTTTCTCCCCGGGACCGGTGTATTGTATCGGGGAGTTTCGATACGAGTCGAACCTTTTCACCTGTTTCTTTATTCTATTCAAATTTCTCAACCCTATCGACCGTCCTTGGAATTTCTCCACGTTTATTCGACGTATTAAAAATTTACAACTTTCCCCTCTCTTTCTCTCGAGTGATTAACCGTAAATGTAATTATCTTGGAATGTTCGTTCGTGTAACTTTGTTTGAAAGTTCGAAGGAAACGGGAGAGAGAAAAAACAACATTCCACGGTGCCTTCTGTAGGTCAGACGTGATTAATAATTCCTCATTTACCTTTGTAAACAGAGTGACAAGATGAGAGGGAATTGGGAGACGGCGGAGCCATTGGTACACGCGCCGAATCAGCAGCGGCAGCAACAGCAACAAACCACTGTCGAAGAGCAACGCCATCCCCTCCATTCGCCAACCACGCCCGCCTGGGGTATCGCCGATAGAATCGTGGTGAGTAATCGTTTCAACCCCTCTCCGATCGAATCTTCTCCTATTTCTCTCTCTCTCGCTCGCTCGCTCGCTCTCCGTTCCCCTTTTTGTCCACCCTCGAGTTTTTTCATCCCCCAACCGCGAGCCTCTCTTCTGTCCCTCTTCCCCGATCGACAAAATGTCCTTCCACTTAGCTCGATGAACCCGGTTAACTCTTCGTGGCTTCAGCTTCCCAAATTTTCTCCGTTCTTCTTTCGCCTGATCGATCTGCCGAAATTTACCATCGTCCATTTCTCTTCCCTCGCTGGTTTTCCGTACTTCAGTCGTACTCAGTTTTCTCTCCAACTTGGAAGATCGAGCGTTAAATAAATTGTTGTTATTTACGCGGCCCGGACAGAAAGCGGAGCCAACAGAGGATAAAAACAACGACTCAGGTGTCTCACCTGATCACTACACAAGCAACTCTGCCTCCCCGAGAAGCAGGAGATCCTCGTCCACGGCGAATTGCAGTTTGTCGCCTGGGAGCGCGAACTCGCAGGACTCGAACAACATGCAGTGCAGCACATTCGATTACAGTCCGCAGAGGATGTTCAAAAATTGTGGTTCGCCGCTGGAATACACCAGGCATCATACCATGGACGATCGTCAGACGGAACAGGCGATGGACGTTGTTTCCAGTACGGTGAAACAGTCCAACGAGGACATCGAGCTCGGTCAGGACATCTTGCAGTGTCCTATCTGCGCCTTCACCACGTTCAACAGGTAGATTGCCTTTGAGAATGTTGAAAAAGTCAAAAAAGATGTAATTCGATATACAGTGATGACAGTAATGAATGTTTGTCGCAGGTTAAAGTTCACCGAGCATCTGGCCACGCACTGCTCGACGAAATGCGACACTCCAGACTTCGTCAACACTGTTCTCAGCCAATTGACAGCGTCGGGATCTATTCAGGACGAGAGCACGTCGTCGCCGACCCACGGGGAACGCTCCGAGCACGAATCAGAGGAGCCTGACGAGCCTGGACTTCGAATTCCACGAGTGAATTCTCAAGGAAAGGTGAAGACCTTCAGGTGCAAACAGTGCAACTTCATGGCGATCACGAAGCTCGAGTTCTGGGAGCACAGTCGCGGCCACATCAAAGCCGAGAAACTTTTAACCTGTCCAAAGTGTCCGTTCGTCACAGAGTACAAGCATCACTTGGAGTATCACCTGCGGAACCATTTCGGTTCGAAGCCTTTCAAGTGCGACAAGTGTTCGTACTCCTGCGTGAACAAGTCGATGCTGAACAGCCACCTCAAGAGTCACTCGAACATCTACCAGTACAGATGTGCCAACTGTTCGTACGCCACCAAATACTGCCACTCGTTGAAGCTCCATCTGAGAAAGTACTCTCATCAGCCAGCGATGGTGTTGAACGCCGACGGTTCACCGAATCCTCTACCCATTATCGACGTCTACGGAACGCGAAGAGGGCCGAAGCAGAAGTCGCTCAAGTCCGACGAAGACGCGAGCCAAAGCAACAGTGTCCCAACCAACAACAACATGCAGATTCCGATGACGTCACCTCAGCTCATCGCTCCACCTCAAATCTCCCCGGTCAGCCATCGTCTGCTGATCAACCCAATGACCGCCATCAGCGACGTGAACCCCATCAACGGTTTGAACGGAGCAGTACAGAATCCACCTGTGCTCACGTTCCCGTACAACCAAATCTTCGCCGGATTCCCCCTGACTCACTTCCCCAAGTCGGAGGACAGCAGCGCGGAGAACCAGTTGGACAGAATCAAGGCCAACTCTCTGATGGACTACATGAAGGTCGTGGAGGCTGAGAGGATGTCCGAAGATATGCCCCAGAATCTGGCGATCAGATGCTTCGCCGGAAATAACACGTTGAACGGCGTTTCCAACGGATACCCCCAAGTTCCCAAGATGAACGAGATTCCCGCGGCACCGAGTTTCGAGATCGAGGATCCGTGCGTCGACGCCAAAGCCACTCCCTTGGACCTCAGCAAACCTGTGTACGTTGACAGCAACGTTCAGAGACCGCCTGCTAATTCTCCCAAGGCAACCGGAACCAGCAGACGCAAAGGAAGAGCTGTGAAGCTGGATCGTCGAGTGGTCGAAGAAGACACCGACGAGGAACAGCAGCAGCAACAACAGCCGCCAGAGGAACAAGAAGTGACGTTCGAGCCTCCAGCAGCTAGCAGTCCTGGTTCCCGCGACGGGAAAGAACCAGTCGAGCGTAGTTTCGCCGTGGTGAACAACGAGTTCACCTGTCAATACTGCGAGATTGCTTTCGGCAACGTGGTCATGTACACCGTCCACATGGGATACCACGGCTACAACGACCCGTACACTTGCAACATGTGCGGCCACGAGTGCACCGACAAGGTGTCCTTCTTCCTGCACATCGCCAGGTCCAAGCACTCGTAGACGTCGCGAGCCGGTGAGGAACGCAGACCCAGCAGGGCGGAGCGCGGTTTTCAACGCCGCTTTGCTCGAACAAGGTTGATCGAGCGTTTCTTTTCAAAGTTTCGAGCGATACAGCGGAGCACGGGCGAGAGACTAAGCAGGTTACAGGTATTCTTTTCGGACCTGAATCGGTGCAAGCGGTCGTGTCGAACGTTGTATCGCTCGACTAACATACTCGGGTACCTTTAACGATACGCATAGACTGTCACGGTTACCTCAACTATGTGTACAAATTTAGTACATAGACGTACATACAGATCGGTACTATATATGAATATTTTTCATAGAGATGAACATTCTTTGTTATTTTCGGGGGAATCCTGCACACGTCCGTCGGCTATCTTTTCTGGAATGAGAATCGACCAATCGTACGAAGAGAAGTTGGGTTGTTTTACTCAGCTCCATGGGTTCCTACAGTTCAAACGTACAGTGATAAAATTCTATTTTACTAAGGATCCTCGTTCCAGGAAATTTCCCGCCGTCGATTACAAAAGTTGAGAAAGTTGGGTAGAGTTAAGAGATTAATCGAATATTATATTAGATGTAAGTTACACGTCAATTAAGAAGCTGATGTAAGATGTATGTGACCGACGAAAGTGATAGACGAGGAGGAGAATGCGAGGTTACAGATTGCTAGAGAGGATTAATTCATGTACTTGCGATCAAGATTTCTCGATTCTAGTCAAAAAAGACACCGAGTGGACGCTTTAAGCGTCGGTGGTCTCGGTTCTTGCAATTAAACAAATCGTAACGGGAATTGGCTGTTATGTCTGAAAGCACGAAATTAGTTAACATTCTCTGTGCTCGACGTTCCGATACATCGTGAGGAGGAACCTTGCGTGTTCCTTCGTTCAGTAATTCCAACGAACATCACAAGTTCCACGTTCTTACAGATCGTTTTCTCTAATTTTGACGACCAGCGTAAGTTTTTTCCACTTTTTCCTTCTACTTTGGAAATTCGTTTTAAGTTGATTTACCATTACGAGTTACTTTTTACCGACAACAAGTTTCAGTTTTACGTTTTCCCCCCTCTTTTTTCTCACGTTGACGAGAAGTGGCTGACGTTAAGTTACACTGTAGTTTCATTTTCTTACAGAGTTCACGTTGTTTATTTCTTTATTTTTTTTACGTTTACCAATTCACTTTGTTTCTTTTTTTATTCATAACGAATACATTTCGACGACGTTTACTTTCTTCTTAAATACTCGTTTAATGTTGACCGCGAGCGGTAGTTTAGTTTGCCATTTTGAGTTACCAAGTGTTTTTCTTTTCTTTTCTTTTTTAACCGCGATGAATTTATCAAACGATCTACACCAAGTTCTCCAGATGAAGGGAAACATTCTGGGGACGGACAGAGGAACGTGTCATTCTCCGCGAGAGTCGATTTATATAAAGATTATATATACACGCGAATGCATATATTTTTTAACGTCAGAGATTCTATTCTACCGAGAAGGAAAAAAGAAATTCACGAAGAGAGACCGATAAGAGAGGACCACAGTTTACAGTTTATTCCTTCGATTTCTCTCTTCGTGGATCGTTCCGTGTGCGCCTTAGACCGAGGAGAGACAAGAGAGTTTCGTTTATTCGTTGAATGTATTTCCCTCGTTTCGCAATACGCTTCCTTCACCTTTTCTTTTTTCCCCTTTTCACTTCGCAACGCGTTGATTTTCGTTCGCAGATGGGTTCTTTTCCGATCCGCTGTTGAAGATACGAAAGAAAGTTTGCATCCGACCACCGTGCGAATCGACCAACAAATCTGGTTCCTACTTTGTAGCATAAGTTTAAGTTAAGCACCATAATATTTCGACATTCCTCATTCTAGTATGTAATCACAAAATACATAAGTTATTTATCTAATTCAACTGTGTTTCTTCTTCCTCTTCCTTCTTCTCCACCGCGGATCTTCCTGATTCTCCTCGATCCGCGGTTCCAACGAAACAAACGACAACCGAGTCGTTGCTATCTTCCGCGCGTAACGATTAAAAATAAGTAAAAATTAAACGAAATTAGATTTGAAATCGAAGAGTCAAGTTCAACAATGTCGTATTCCAGTCAAGACGACGTTGTTTGGCTGCCAGACTTAATCGGTCCTATATACCAGAGGCCGAACGCTTCTCTGCGCGAGGTTAGTGTTTCCTCGATCTGCGCGAATCTTCTGAGAAAAATTGACAAATATTCAGATATTGAACGCTCATCGCGACGACAAGTGCACGCGTACAATGGCGACGTTCGTTCCCGACGAACTGATATACGAGAGCGACTTAACCAAAAAGAACTTCCGTAAGTTCAACTCTGTAATGGCGTTGTTCAACATGACACGGTTCTTCAATTTTTACAAGCAACATATCAGCGCGGAGAACGGCGGCAGCTTTGCTCTGTTCGCTCTGCTGAACAGCTACATGAAAATCATCATCGAGGAAGTGTACACTTCGGAGGGAGACGTGTTGAAATTCTCTCGTACGTTTGTCCGCTCGTTCGATCATTGAGTAACAACTACACCGAATCGAATCTTCTCGCAGAGGACGGACTGTTGATCATGTGGAAGGTGAACAGAGACGAGTTCATCTCGAAGATGGTTTATCACGTTATTTTGTGCGCTCAAAGGATCCAGGATACCATTGCTAGCGTGAAGAACAAGCTTCCCGTCGCGAAACGTACTGTTCTAATCAGACCGAATTAAACACATATTTTAACAATTTCTGCGATTACTTTTAACCCTTTCGTTACTATTGGCGCCTAATAAAGGCGTTTTGAAATTTTCCAGCCTTTTGCCGCACTTCCACCATAATTTAATACTTTGTTTCACCCTTACGCACTTCCATCTTAATTTAAGAAACCGACTTTCACAACGACACGGCGAAAATAAGAAATTTTACAGCCGTGGTTCAAAATTTACCACCACTCACCCACGTTACGCGTTAAAATCTGCCGTAGCGAAAGGGTCAAAGCACGCAACCCTGCGTCACAGTTCTGATAACAATATCCCGTCCTTTCTAACTTTCTTCCTAAAAGTCTCGCTCGAGTTAAACTCGAGTCTCACTCGGGATAAACTGTCGAAGGGTTAAACAGAGCATAGTTAAGCTACATATATGTATGATAGATCGACGTTAATGTTGACAGTGGATATCGTGATATCAGCCGGAGAGGTGCTATTTTCGGTGATCGGTGACGACAGTGGCAGACGATTCGTGATTGTCGGAGCTCCTATCGAGGATCTCAAGTACGCGAGAAGAATCTGTTTACCAGGTGATCTGGTGTTGTCTTCCAGTGCTTGGGAACACTGTGCTCCTAGCCAGTACGAGTACGTTATCAAGGATTCGAGTAACGTGAAGGTGCGAGTCGAAAGTGGAGAACGATCGAGAGAGTGGAGGATGTATTTCGTTTACTCTGGTAGATTATTAAGGTAGTTGGACCACCGATCGAACCTCCGAAAAGTAGCACCGAGATGGCTGTTGCGGAAAGTATGCAGCTTCGTTCGAAACTTGACCTTATCGACGAGCCGTCGGTTATGTCTGTGTACTCTAACATATCTATGGACTCTGTGGTGCAATTCCAAGGTAAATTGGGATTAATTTACTTGAAAAGGTGAGAAATTAGGGAACGGTGATTGAATTTTGTAGCGAGAGTTTCTGTGATCGATGCTCAACGAAGACGTCTCGGTACAAGCTTGAAGACCTACATGTTGCACCCGATCTTTACACGGGTACGTTTGTAGATTTTCGATTGGGGGGAGTATATGGTGCGAGAGTTTGATTTTAGATCGAAGACGATCAGTCGTTGAAGAACTTGGAGGAAATAAGACAAATTTCTATGGTTTGTGTCAGTGTGATACCGACAAAGTGTACCGTTTACGAGTTAATTTCTCTGGTAGATCAGCTGTTTATATGTCTTCAGAGGTACTATTGTTCGGGGAAGTGATGGAAATTGTTTATTAAATGTTGGCACAAGTTTTGGAATTTTTTATCGTATTTTATCGTAGGATTGTTATAGAGAACGGTGGATGCATTTGTACGGTGAATTTATACGAAAGGGATATTTCTTTTTACGTCGTGTACGGAGTTAGGAATTATAGCGAAGAAGAGGCTGGGAATATATCGGACAATGCAATCTCTTCCGCGATGACGATAATGAAGGAAATGAAACGCATCGGGGGCGTTAAAACTGTTCTAATTGGCGTCTCCACTGGTAATCTTTCAAATATTCAAATTCTCAAATTTCCAAATATTTAAACATTCAAATTTCCAAATTCTCAAAATGAAAAATACCCACAATTTGAATTGTTCTACAGGTATAGCATTTTGCGGGATAATCGGCCACACTGTCAGAAAGCAGTACATGATTTTCGGTACGCCCACCTTCAAAGCGATTTCACTGATGATGATTTCATTCGACAAGGTTCACATCTTTCACAAACCACCCTCAACTTAACTAGATACACATCGATACATCTCCTCGAAAATCTGTCCTAGATCTCTTGCGATTACGACACCATCATAAACAGCTCTCTGGGCAAAGAGAATTTTCGTTCGCGAGGCATTAAAGTCCTAAGAAGATTCGGCAAGTGTCACGTTTACGAATACGTCTTCGCGTACTCGTAAGATTTTTTCATTCTTAATTTTACCATCTTCGTTGCTCCGTTCAAATCTTCCATCGAACTGTTTCTTTTCAGAAAAGCAGAAGCACTGATGAACCTAAAGTACTGCTATCCAATTCTGGGTCGATTTCAGGAACTGGAATACTTCAAGGATATTCTAGACGACATCGGAGTCCCAGGACGAATTTATTCCGGACTTCTTATCGAGGTTCTACTCGAAACGATCCGAAAAAACGTCGACACTACGAACGAAAAATAAAATTCTTTCAATGATGATTCAGGGTAGCGAAAGGTCCGGCAAATCTCGACTACTCGATGCTTTCGTCACGACCGTTAAAAACAGAGAAATAAGGCTGATTCAACTTTCTTTGCATCCATCTTACGCGGAGAAGGCTTACGCTGTACTGTACTACATGTTTCTTCAAGTATACAAACGAACCGTATCACCAACCATCATCCTCCCCCGATATCTCCGAGAGATAAAAAGATTTTCGTTTTTCTCACTGTACACAAGCTATTCGACGCCGAAGATTTCACAACGGTCGAGGATCGTGAGAGAGTTCTCTTGAGGACAGTGTCAGAAATTCTGGAGCTCAACGATCTATGCTACCTGAACGCGATCATGAGGGTACAATTTCCCCTTTCGGAAGAGTACTGCAACGACACCGATTGGAAACGGCATAAGAAAACGATAGAAATCTTCGAAGATATATTAAACCAGGTTCGACAGATTATCCATTAATTCCCCAACATCGTCATGATCCACAGACATCGCTCCTATTTCGACAATTCAGGTTGTCGGACGGGTGTGCATACTTCTAGACGACGTGCAACACATGGACCTCCTTTCGTGGCAGTTTTTGTCCTCTGCTCTCGACAACCATAACGTGATTCTAGTAATGACGATGCTGGAACCAGTTTCCTGGGACAATTTATCTCAAGTCGAGGCTGGAATTTGCCAGGATAAGAGGCTGATGATTCGAACGTTGCAGGGAATAGATTCGAAATATCTCGGAGCGTTCGCTTGCCAATTCATGAACGTTATCGCCATTCCTAAAGGTCTTGACAAGTAAAGCAACCGTGTCTTTTAACTGCTCGTTGAAAAATCATCGTGTCGTATTCGTATCGGTCCAACGAATTCTCCGCTTCTTGTCCAGAATCCTTAAACAGCGTAGTAGAAACGTGATTGGCTGGTGCGAGGCATTTTTAATGTCCGCTCTGCAAGTCAACGCTGTGACCGTAGCGACGGTTTCTCCGATCGACGTGGATCATTACGATCTCGTTTTCCCGGATGGTTCGCTGCTGGCCAAGATTCCAGCCTACTTGACACCCGAGGAATTGGCACCGCCGTTGCACTGGACGCAGATGAGCGCGGTCAACGTCTGCATACCGTCCGATAAGCACAGAGGATTCGTCGAGACCAATCGTGACATCACAGGTTGCTTATCGTTTTTTAAAATTCTATCAGTTTGCTACTTTTTCTTCCAATCGAATCGTGGTTGTGTCAGGCTTGAGGATCGATATATACAACAGAATGAACTCGTACGAGCAGGATTTCATCAAGTGTGCAGCAACCCTGGGAGAGATCTTCCAACGAAATATGGTGGACTCTGTGATGCTCAATTCTGCGCCGTTGTACACGTCGAAAGGAAAGTGTGTTGCATTATTTATGATCATTTTTGTAGTTACTTCGTTGTTTCGTTTGGTTAATTCAGCTGTGGCAGAGATGATACGGTTGAGAATTTTGGAGTGCGCCATGATCCAGAGGAAGGATTTCCATTCGGACGATTCCGTGTATTACGTGCTCAAATACAGGAAGACTTTCAGTAATATGCATCATCTGGTGACTTGCGAGTGTAAACCTTCTCGTTAGTTGATTCAATTTAGATGTTACTCCTTAATTACCTAGAATGACTATCGCGATTTTTATCATACAGGAATCGTTACTAAGAAGACACTGCCTCCGTACGCTTACTGCAAGGTCCTCGAGTTTACTATATCCTCTTATCGCAAGCTCTTCTACGAGATACTGTCCCCGCACGAGAAGAAGGACTATCACACGAAGGCTGTGAGTATCTTCGAGAGGGACGCTCGGAAGTGCAATACCTGCGGCCGTGGCAATTTTTGCACGCTCATGACCAAAGAATTGGATCCTCAGCCGGTGAGCTAATTTCGTTAGAGATTTATTCCCGAATTTGAAACACCTTCAAATTTTTCTCTACAAGATCGCTGAAACGCTGCATAAAATAAGTTTAGCGATGCAGAGAAGAGGGACGTTTCACAGCAAGCACGACAGAAGACGAAGTATTTTCGCGGAGAACACTACGGACACGGACAGGAAACGGGAAAGCGTCAACATTCGCAGAATTTCCATTCTTCCGGTTCACACCGACGATACAGATGGTACATATTTAATAATTATATTTTTTATTCCTTTTTTCATGGTATTACACAAATTGAATACGGTTAGAAAACGGCGAAATGAGTCCAGACTTCAATAACGTTTCCGACCTTCCGAGACGATCGAAACGATCAACCAGTGGATCGGATGTAATACTCGATGTTTCTTGGGACGAACGATTGAAGCAGTTCACTTTCATAGATTATCGAAACTGTCGATGCATGGAGGTGATCAATTATCTTTTCTGGATAATGCACCATCATATTAAAAACAGCAGTAAAGTTTCCACTCCTTCTTCTTTTATTAACACGTTGAATGCCACGGGGGGTCACCGGTGACCGGCGAAGCCAACATTACTAGAAACACATAATTCGAGTAAATTTCAATGCTTTCCATCGTTACTAAAATGGTGCGAAGAAATGAATGCAATATAGAATATTAAAACACTCGAAACAAAGGAAAGATGGACCAGTACAGCCTGCACAGTATGTCGCAACTTTTTTCGACTATTGCAAAAATATTAAAAAATATATGAGAAAAGATAAATGCGTCGCACATGATCACACAGTTTAACTTGTCTGTTGTAAATAACATTTCACCGAAATATGTAACACGACGGGCAACAAGCCATGTAAAATTGACGTGGCATTGAACGTGTTAAATTCATTCTTTTCTCGTGAAAATCTTCTTCTTCTTCCTTCAGTGGACGTTGGAACACTGGTGAAATTCATGATGGAGTACAGCGCTGGTCTGATACAGACCGCGCAGCCGGTTTATGCAACGAAATTTCTCGCAACCACCACCACCAATATCAACGTAATAAAAGTGAAGGAAAAATTGGATCTCGATACTGTCGACATAATCGCCGATAAAGGAAAGACCTTGGTTTTAATGGGTAAAAATCCTTTCCATTTATTTCTTTCGCAATTCCACGCGTGAATCTTCGATTAGAAGTTTTCTCGGAACGTTCTTTCATCAGGAGACGCTTACATCGCCTATGGAAATTATTCTCAGGCGAAGAAATTTTATTTGGAGGCTGTCGCGTTGCGAAGTGAACTGCCACAGAGCGCCAAGGCGATTTGTTACAACACTCTCTTCGAGAAAATACGATACAAAGTGCTGGGTCTGCCTGGGTACATCGCGAATCAAGACATCGGAGATATAGGCGCTCGGAAGATGGAATTAGCCGTGTATCTGCACCGATTGTCCACGGTTTCCATGGTTCGAGTCGTTTTCATACTTATTTATAAAATTATTCAAGTGTGTAACGTCAATTTTTACGAAATTCTCAGCTGCAGGACGAAGGAAAGATGGCGAAACTCTCCATTCTGCAGAGTCTTCGCGCCGCGTTCGAGACCGCCGGCAATTTCTTGGAGAAAGGAAAGATTTATCTAACCGCTATAGAAATTTTTCGACAGTTTCAAAAACTGAACATGACATACCCACTGGAGAAGTCGATGTTGCTGGTTATCGAGGAGAAAATCAGCTGGAAATCCCCGGAAGAAGTGATCATAGTCGCCCAGGTGTACCAGACGGTATACGAGAACAGGTAACACACTTCTCTTCCACTAATTCAATATTCTACGAGAGAAGATTCTTCTCGATACGTTTTATTCGTCGACTAAAGAATACGACTGGGTCAGCTGATCGAGGGTATCGATATGGGAGTTCGAATTTGCAAGATATGCAATCATTTGCACCTGAACAAAGTGAAGCTCGCTATTCTGCCATCCTTGATACAGATTCTGGTGAGCAAAACTTGTCGATTTTACAACGTTGATTAAAAATCTCAAGAAATTTCATTCCGAGAAATTATTAGATGTGGACGAAACACATATACGAGGCCGTCGATTTATTATACGAATTGTACTATCTTTCCAAAGAAGATACCGATTATTCAGCCATCACTTGGTACTACGCTCTTTGCATGGAATTTCTGCTGGACGCTTCCATGATTCTGGAGCCGTACGAGAAGTGTTACGACTTCTACGCTAACGTCATGGGTAAAGACACTTTTCTAAGAGCATCCTTATTATACGTTTATGATAATTATCTCCAGACTTCAAGTCGAGAACTTGCGTATTACGCGACGCGGAGAGTCTGTCGCGTCTGACCACCTGTTTAGTCATCTGGCAGCTGAGAATGTGAGTACTTTCAAGCAGACGACGATAATCCTCGCTCCATTGCACGATATTTATAGGAACGTGATAGTCACCGACGTGTTCGTGAAGGACGTCGAAGACTATTTGAACGGTATCGCGTACGACAAGTTTTCACAGATTTGCAATTGCATCAAGGTATGAAATAATAATTCCAACGATAAATTTCTAGCTGTAGAATAATTCTTCGCGCATCTATCACAGGGTCTCGAGAGTTATTTGCTGATACTGAAACGTCGAATCAACATCAAAAGATCGAACGATCTCTTCGATCGAGTGAAGAACGCTAACGCGATAATCAAGTATCTCAACGAAGCGTCTGCTTACGCTCCGTTCGTTAAACCATTTTTATACATGCTGCAATCCTACATGGAACTTCTACGCGGCCGAAAAGCAGCCTCCGAAGGTTACATTAAAAAATCGCAAAATTGGGCCTCGTTGCAGGAGAATAAACTGATATCAGCTTGGACTGAACAGAACAAAAGGGTAAATGACACGTTGGAAAAAGCCTCTTCTTCCGTAGAATAACCGACCGATAATCGTAGACTTGGGAGGAGAGTAACTACAACAACATGGCGCAATACTGGGTGGAGCATGTCGGCTCGAACAACGCGGTTCAATGGCAGGAGATCCACACGTTCGGTGTGAACGCTTGGTCCACCATACTGTACCCGTTTCCAATCCCAGAATCGAACTTTTAACCCTTGAACAAGAGGGGGGGGAAATAGGAATTGTAGCGAAATATTTATTGATTAAAGGCGTATTACAGTTTCAGGTTCTAAAAAGGTATTACACGACGATCCCCTCGTGTGCACACGATACTTGGTTTTTTTAAAAAAAGAGTGAACACTCGCTCTCTTTCGTTCGCAAGGCGACCTCCGCGCGTTTTGAACCTCCAGATCGATTTTCTTTGTTCTTTAGGAAATCTCTCGCGACCGACGATTCCGGTATATTTTTTTTGTTTTTCTTTGCACATCCACGACATAATAATTATACGTTGCGTATAATTCGTTCAATTGATCTATCGGATTTGGCCGAGTACGCCAAGGATGGAAGCTGAATGAAAGAATAGAGAGAGAGAGAGAGAGAGAGGAAGGAAGGAAAATAACCGTGGATCGATCGATCCTTCGACTATCGATCGATGTTTCACCACAACCCTGTGTGTCTCGCATCGCGAAACGATGCTCGTCCTCTGATTTTAACACCGATTCCTTTATTCTTTCGACAAGAAATCCTATTCCTACTAATTATGTGTTTATCGTTTAAGTAGTTTCACTGGAATCGTGTAATAAAGAAAGAAAAAAGAGAAAAAAAAAAGAATGGAAATACTGTACATTACGCGGCAAACAAAATTTCCTTTCACCGGTGATTACGTTACGAACAGTCAATTAAATACATTTTAAAACACGTTACCTCAGATCGTTCCGACACAAAACGTGCTGCTACCACCGACTTCCGGCGTACATTAATATAATATACCACCACAGGACACGTTGCAACCAAGTAGCTGCAACTTCTGTTCCCGTTTGCCAATCGTCCATATATTCATTTTTAGCGTCGAACTCGAATCTTTCACTTCGAGATCAGTTCAAATACCGTGAATTATTCGAGGGCCCGTGCCGTTTATTCCTCCGCGATTTCGGTCCATATGCAGGTTTTGGAAGCGAGGGATGGATGGAGGAAAGAGGGCTGATTTTTCTACGTTCAGATTTCGCTGGCGTACTCGGCCTGGATACACGTGGCATTCGTTGGACGGGATTTAGTAATCGTATCGCTGTAGAAACGTTGCTTCGTCTCCTCCGTTTGCCGCTACCACTCCTCCTCTCCGGCTGGGTGGGCCTCGATCGCACGGAACACCGATCCATTCCTCCTTCATTCGTGCGCATCGACGTCGTTGTCGATGCGACTGCTTCGTATTCCGGTCTTGCCCGTCCACGGATAGATGTCCGGACACGTCTGGCAGGTCTTCATGTACCTCACGCCGCTCTTGTGCCACAGATTACAGACTTTCGGGTTGTTGCACTTCTTCGGCCGGTCCTAGGTTCGAGCGTTCAACGTATCAAGCTAGATATCTTCTTATTTACCGACTATTTACTAACTGAAGCTGTAGAACGGACGGTCAACCCTCTTGTAACGCGGTGCAAAAATTGCGACTGTCCTCCTTCGATACGACAGCCAAATCTATGTGCTATGTGCCATTCTTAGTGCTTCGTTTAAAGAAATATCTGATTTTTGCTAGTTCTCGAGAACACGGAACGAATCTCCCTGATTTGCATTTTTTCGAAATTTCGCTTATTACGGTTCCGATACGACCACGGGACGGAACGAATTAACCGTGTTACAGGAGGGTTGAATCTTCTCAATCTTCGTAAAACGTAGAAAAATGAAACATATACGTACCGGATAGTTGCACCCAAAGGGTTCAAAGGTGTGCATCAACGGAAGTGGCGTAGGATTCCTGACCCACTGGATTCCCTGCCAGTTCGTCACGATCCACACGTCGTCCATCGCGACGATAGTGTCTAGGAACGAAATGAATCCCTCCTTATGGTGAGGCTGGGTGAACCAGGCCGCGTGATAGAACAGTCCAAACGGTGCTCTGCAATATACAATTTCCCCTTTTAAAATAACCTCCGTTTCAATCGGTGTCCAAGTAGTTCAACAAGATCCACCTGTTGGTAGTGTAGTGTCTCTCGAAGTTCTTGATCAGCATCTTGTAAACGCCGTCGGCAGTCGGTGGGTTGCTGCAAGCGTCTCCCATAGAGCATCTACCTCCGTTCAAGTCCTGCCACATCACCATAGGAACTTCCCACAAGCCTGGATAAGACCTGGTGGGACAAGGAGGGATCATGCAGTCGTGGAAGAGTTTGTAGTCCAAGGTGTACGGCCAGCTCGGTGGTCGATTCTCGTAGATCGGCATGGAAGAGTCGTAGGTGAAGTTTGTGTCCCACAGCATTTTGAACATGTTGTTTCCGCCGACCTGTTTATTAAAATTCATCGACACGTTCTTGGACACCTATCTTAGCTGGAGTAATTAAAATTACCGATAAGAAGGGAGCTCTCATTCCTCTGACATCCTCGAGCTTGACGCCTCCGTAGGCCGAGAGGATTTCACGCTGTCCGGCAACTTCTCGCGCCCATTTTCGATGAGAGAACTGCTCACCGAAGCTGTGCCTATTTTTCAGGGATTTATCGTTCGGTTGATCGTTCGTTCGAAAAATGAAACAGTGAGGCCAGAATGCGGGAAATTCGATCACCTGGTAATTACCCTTTTACACGCGTCAGTAGGAAACGATATTACGCAAAAGGTCGGAGAAGGAAGTTCGCGGATTGGTTTTTGTTCGATTAATAAAGAGACTTCTTTTAGCCTTGTTCGGAACCGGTTTCACGCATTCTGACCTGCCGGCGAGGTGCTAAAGCGGCGACTTCTGTCTGAATAAAGCAGCTGATGCCCCCCTACGAACGACTAATCAAGCTTGCATTAGTTGCTAATTGATCGGCGTAAAGGCAGAGAGCGTGAACTGGCGTGATCGTTGAAGCATTCTTGATTGCTCGATGGGTAAATGGAACTGTGATTAATGGATCGACGATAATGTAACGTGGTGCTTCGTTAATCCTATCGATTAGGTATCGGTATGCAACAGCGAGTTAGATACTTTTCGACGATAAAAAACAAGAAAGGGAGAAATTAGAAAATACAATTCTACAGGTGTGAACGGTACTCCGGGATGTTCATTCACAGGCGAGAGCCGGGCTTCTCGAGTGGGTACTTACGAAACCGTGTGGGAGGCAATCTCATGACCGGTGGCATAGAGATTTTGGACCTGGCTGTAGTCTGTCCACTCGTGGGAGACGTAGAACGTTGCCGAGATGGGACAGCCGTTCGGGTTTTTCCGTCCCTTCTCGAACAGATCGGCGTAGAGACCCTTGTTCAGGTCGTTCACCGAATCGTCGAACGTCAGGAGGACGATTTGCGGTATCTCCTCCGGAAGGTAGTCACCTGTTTCAGGATTTCGTGTTCCGGAATAGAGGGGAGGAGAAAGAGAACAAGGTTGTCGAGGAACCAAGGAGCGTGTATTTTTGTATGTATCCCGATTGTTTCGTAATTTGTTCGAGAGAATGAGCATAATGTACGGTGTGTGAATGTGTATCGACGAGTGTGCGACGGTTAGAGTGTGGTTGCGTGATGGGAATGCGAGGGATGACCGAGTGATGCGACCAGAAAGACAGAGACAGAGAGAGAAAGAGAAAAGAGCGAAAAGAGAAAAGTTGCGGTTAGTACGCGTCATTAGTATACGGCACAGGTGCGGTACGCAGCTGGTGAAACTGCCTCGCGACCCGTGTCACCGTTCATCTCCGATCGCGACCGTTTCACCAGCCGTGTATCGCAATTTACGCTTTTATCTCGATCCGCCGACGATCCTCTAATTGCCTGGCCCATACGCCAACTACGTAGTCCCTGCAATTTGTTCCGGAAACATGGCTAAAGAAACGAAAGAGAAGCGCTGTCTCTTCTACGAACGCGTCAATGAAACAACTTGTTCCCTTCTCTGCCGGCATAAGGACAGTATACGACGATACTATCGTTTTCTCAGGCTGAGAAGAATACCAAATCTTACTTTCAGACGAGCTCCGCGTCTCTTCCGCGCATTCAGGATATTTAGTTTCCTTTTTCCTCGTTAGTATCAGCCCTTCGCGCTGTAATTACGTTTTCTAGGTCGTTCTCAGCCGGCTCTGGCCATCGAGGAGATCGGAAATCTCGACCGTCGGGGTTTCACGGTGCGAAGTGAAAAAGAAAGAAGAAAATTCCGTCTTCTTGTTAGCCTGTTCCATCGTATCGGAGGATCGTCGTCGAAGCGAGGAACATTAATTCTCGTAGAAATTGGAATCAGCGTAGAGAAAAAAAAAAAAAAACACAGCGGAAATCGTGCGTCCAGAGAGAGGACTTTAGTCGAAGAGATGCGCAGGCGATGACGTACGATGGACCATGGGGCTATCTGGCGCGACCAACGAATTAGCGTGGAGGTGCGACGAATTTTTCTTTCATCGCGAATGCAAGAAGAAGAAAAAAAGACAAGGTAGCTGTCTCACGTGGTCAGAAACTTACGAGACTGTGTGCGATGCCATTTCGTGGCCGTCCGCGTATAGGTTTTGCACCTGGCTATAATCGGTCCACTCGTGCGAGACATAGAACGTGGCCGTGATCGGACAACCGTTCGGATTCTTACGGCCGTTCTCGAATAAGTCGGTGTATAATGGTTTGTTCAGATCGTTCACGGCGTCGTCGAACGTCAGCAGAACGATCTGCGGCGTCTGTTCGACCGGAATTCCACCTGGATCAAAGATATCGTCTGTTCCGCGGACACTATTCTTTTCCTCGAGACTCTCTCAAGAGTCAACGTTTCTTGTACAGGGAGGTCCCCGCGTCGCACGTGCTTGACGTTCTCGACGTTTAATCTGAAGCGCGGGATCTCCGCTGATCCATTGCTCAATTAAAAAGGAAACGTAGGCAGAGTCACCCGACTCCGGCAGATTCTTCCGGATGATTTATGCGAGGTATGCGATTGCACAATCCTTTCTAGACACGCAGGAACACTCGGCTAGGCCGTTTTAATGGCTTACGTACCCGTGCTTGCCCGCGGGGAATATTATTACCCTGACTCTAACCGTCTCTTCGTTCATCACGGACCGTTTAATTGAATGCAACTGTTATTATCCCCGGAGATGTATTCGTACATATTTTTCGTTCCACATAATCGTTAAAATGATCGACGAGCCGTTTAACAAGTTACATCTAACCTAATTCGATCTCTTCGAAAAGAAAAGAGAAAAATGGTCACCTCGAAGTAGGCACAAATTCTTAAGGGCAAACTGTACCGATTGAAATTCTCGCCGAGACACGAGCTTTCGATTTCGAGCAACCTTCGACGGGCACGTGCGAAATTGCGAGCGGCAAAGCGGATCTGTTTCACTTTCGAGCGGGCACCGTTCGAACGGTTATGTGTAACGTTAGAATCGGAGAAAGTCACGGTGGCTGCTAAACCGATCGGCTAAACTTAACATTCGTGCCGCGCGGACGCTTGCGTCACTGGCTACTATCCACGTCCTATCCTTTTCGACGATATCGATTCAACTTTTTCCGCGTGTACGTACGTAAATACGTACATACGCGAATGATCGATCGAGCAAATCGATCATTTCCCCTGCCTGCCTCGTTTTACTTATCTGATGCACGAGATCGCTTACCGAGAGAAATATTCGCGGCACGCTTACCTGGAATGTCTGCACCGCCGCAACTGCAATCAGGAAGCAGGCAGACGTCCTTGCGACACTTTGCCGCCGGTTTGTCGACCTGAGGAGTCGGATAAATCGGCGATGGCCTCAACGGAGGATACCTGTAGATGTCGACGAACTCCTGCGCTTTCGACACGATCTCCGTGGACGGCTTCAAGGTTGGCCGCGACCGGCTGAAACACCGAATATTACCGATTTCACGGAATCGATCGCGGAAAAACCAGACAATTCACTCCGGCCAGCCATTGTTTCCTGTCGCGTCAACGTGATTTCTCCTTTTCTACGATCCCGACCACCGTGATTCTGTCTTTCGTTTCACTGCGTCTACTACACTTTTTCCCGCTGTTTCTCATATGTGTCCATTTCTTTGTTTTAATTTTCATCGGTATTTCTTTTCGTTCTAATATTAGTTAGACAGAGGCGGGTAATCGTTTAGTATGTTTAATAGCGACAGCTGTGCAGCTTAGACGCAATTAACTTTCTAGCTGCATTAATTCAACGCAGCCACGTTCGTTCACCTCGAGGAGCGACACAAGCGAGCCAGTAGATCTCGAGGTTTCCGTGCAAACGGATCGGATGTCCGCTTTTGCTGGAACAATATGCTTTTTACCCTACTTCGATCCTCGACGATAGCGTCCGATAATTCGCGCGTTAATTGGAAAATTGCTACTTGTCCAATCGTACACAAACGAGACATGTTAAATCAACTTTCTACCGACGCCGTTCGAACGACACGCGAGGAAAATCTTCGACGAAGCGTCGTAACAATTCGCAACTTACGGCGGTGCTGTGCCACGATGGACCTGTTGCGGACGACCCCGGCTGAAAGAAGCAGACAGAAGGAGATTGAAGATAGAAATCGTGGCAGAGGACGTGGAGGAATTTCGAACGAGCGACAGAGGGGATTGCGGAGCGGAGAAAAATGAAAAATCCACGGCGTTTCCGGCGGCGCACAAAAGGAAAATGTTCGGCTACCGGGAGAGAAAGCGAGTGCTTCGTTTTGCGGAATACGGAGATCGGCGAAATCGGGTCTTGGTCGACGGAGACGCTGCAAGGCCGTTCTCCGCGCGGAAACCGAAGACTAAAGATCGAACACGCTGACGAGAGATGTACTTCGTTACTTGTTTACAGCTGTAAATTAGTAATTCCAACGATTGCAATCGTTGCAACTTGAAATACAGCACACGATGCTGGTAATAAAGAACGATATTTGTTTAAACTAGCGTTTATTATTACACAGGTTGCAACGCACGGCGTGTAAATGATAAAGAAAGAATTGTAACCTAATTGAACCCGCTATTCCCACGAGAAACTTTATGGTCGGCGTCTTCGATCTCGCCTTCGGTTACGATCAATCTACCACCACTTTCACGAACTGTTGCGCGCCAGCACATAATAAAAGTGAACGCGTACGAGCGCACTTACGCGTTGCACTCGATCACCGTCCATGTTCGTAATAATCTCTCGTGCGAAATTCGTCTCGGGGTAATAGCTACTGAGGATTTTAAATCGCGAATATCGGCCAATCTCTAAATGTATCACACGTTATCCGCCGCAAAAAGAGTTACTCCTTTTACTTTGTTACCGCTCGCAAATTTTCCATCGACGCTGCATGCACGCGAAAACGCACAGGGAAATCGCGTCTGTCGGGTGCGTTCGAAGAAAGCGTGAAATAATGTCGCGTTCGACGTGATGGATTCGTTGAAATAATATCGATGAAAGGCGACCGACCGATCCCTACACTCGTCCAGACCCCTCCGGTTGCATAATTGGGCAAAAAGTGGCGAACGACGGCACACGCGGATAGGTACGGTACCTGGGTGCATTGACCGTGTAAGGCCTGCTGGTGGTGGACGGAGGCTGCGTGGTCGTCGTCAACGGGATGAACGTGTCCACGATAGCGTTTGGCGTGGTCACGTGGACGACAGGGTGGCTGAGCACGTTCGGTCTGTGCACACGCGACGTTTAATTAATAAATTGCCCACTCGGCAAACCGAGCGACCATCTCGTCCACGCCTTTTTGCGGTCTTTCACCGCAGAAGCCACTTCCGAGACGGATCGTTTATCTCATTTTTCCGTTATTAACGACGACACAACGTGCACAGTTTCTTCTTCTTCTTCTTCTTCTTTTTCACGTGGTTAGAATTCGAAGTGTCTCATTTTTCCGTTATTAACGACGACACAACGTGCACAGTTTCTTCTTCTTCTTCTTCTTCTTCTTCTTCTTCTTCTTCTTCTTTTTCACGTGGTTAGAATTCGAAGTAACAGTGTAAAAGTGAAAATATACCTGGTAGTGTCTGTTTAATCAACGAGTTAAGAACGATACTGTTTCTGTCGACGGTGTACAGTCTTTGGAAGCGATTACCACAAGCTATACAGAGACGTTTAATTGATCAGAGAAACGAGGAACACTTTTAGAGGCGACAGGTGATCGAGACTAGAACGAGTGTCTAGCGAGCTCTGTCTACGTAAGAAGAGGTTCTCTCGTTGAATTTCACGGGATACCTTCCATCGAAGAGTCATCGCGAATGCTACAAGAATGCTTACGTTTCTAAGAAACGTAATTTACAAGAATAGAATCAACGGAGACCTCGATGAAAGCTCAAGGCGAGGGTTCGAACGATTACAACGGTAATTTTCTCGTCGTTCCACGCTCGCGGAGATAGCGCGAAGGTTTCTTTCTTCTACGCTCCCGCGCAAGAAATCTCTATCCACGAACGTGACACAGAGGATCCGTTTCGATTAATAAGAAATTTCTCACCTGAACGACTGGCCATCGGTAATGCGGAACTTGTTCTTGTTCAGCTGCGCCTGGACACCCGGTGTGCAAAGAGGAACACAGAAAAAGGAATAGAATGATTGTGCATAAACGAGCGAGCGAAAAATTCCTAGCTTTTTACCTGATTCTCGTAGATATCGTAGTCCTGTGCCGTCACGTCTTGGTTCAAGTTGTACTTGTCCGCTTCGTTCACCGCGACCTTCTTCGGCTTTTGATACTGCTTAGTGTTCACCTCGCTGATTTTAACACTCGGCTGCACCGCCACCGTTTGGTTCACGGTGTATTGGTTGTAATCTAACCGAGAAACGACCGCTCGTTGTAGTTCTCTCGTCGGAGAATCCGAATTTATCGAAGAAATTTTCCTCCTCCAGGAGAACGCTTACCGTCGTCCTTGTAGATGGACACGTCGTCGTCGTAGATCGTGTAATAAGGGTAGCTCTGGTCTGGATCGCTGTAGTAGGACTTGGAGATCACCGGGGCGACTGTGGACGCGAGGATCTTGGCGACTCTCGGTGACTCGGAGGATGGTACTTGTGTCCTATTCGTGTGAAACGTGCTCGATATTTTTCGAAAGATTTCGGAAAAATGGGTGAGGAATTTAGGTGAGAAAAGTGGACCGAAGGGAAACGTTTTGAAGCAAGTTTGAAACTGCCGTGGTGTCGACTATACGAAGAGAGTACCAAGTAAAGATACCTATAAATATGATTCGGTGGGCGGCGTCGTACAGTCTTGGAGGGCCGAAAGAAACGTCAGAGCGTTACGTGAAAGGCGTGTAGCAGCCACCGGGAGAGAATTAAAGGGGGCCCACGGCGAAAGAGAAATCGAGTAAAAAGGTGGTGGCGAGCACCACAGTAGAGCCGGTCCGATTTCAAAGGCTTACGTACCTGTAGTGGGCTTCCGTTTGGGCACGCGTACTCAGCAGGCTCTCCTTCTCCCTTTCCTGTGCCCCGAGAACATTAAACGACAAATTAATTCCAGCCACTTGGTTTCTCATTCAATCTATCTTTTCTTTAACCGCTAATTGACTGCCGCGGAGTTTCTATGTGGCAACCGAGCTGTATGGAGAATTCACGTGACGCAACCTGTTTTATACGCAGCGTACCAGAGAGGATAGGACTCAGAAGCCGAAAATCACAGAGAAACTCGCGTAAAACTTTGGCTGGCGTCTTCTCTGTCCCCGATTTCACGGTACGCGGGCTTTCCTGTTTCGCCAATCGGAGGACCATGGAAACCGGCCTGCGTTTATCTCTAATTGGTCTATCGTTATCCTGTCAAACGTTACGGCTAGATGACAACCCGATACTTGACACATTTACCACGATACACGTTGCTCTTGTGTTGGTACGATTTGTGAAAAACAAAAGGTCGGCAAAAACGGTACATAGAAGGAAATTATCGACACGCAAACTCACCGAAATCACGTTCCTTCTCAGACCATCCCTGTCCCTCTGCACTTGACCAATCGTCGAAGGTTGCCCTCTGTACACTCTCTGCTGTCTGTCGCTTTCCACTTCCGTAGCTGGTTCGTACTCGTCCTCGTGATAATTCCTGACCTGTTGCCTCTGGCGAATCTGCTTTTCGGTGATCTGCGGCACAGGGACCGACGTGGTGGTCACAACAGGCTGCCTCTGAATAGGACGAGGCTGTTGCTGTTCACGCCTCTGTTGCTGTTGCGGCCTCTGTTGCTGCTGCTGCTGCTGCTGCTGCTCCTGCAGGGTCTCGATCTTCGCCGATCTAAGTCGTTTCAGAGAAGAGATTGCGACAGAGTTAATTGCTAGTCTCTCCGATCGTTGCGGCTGTTTCGTCGATTTTTTCTTTCCAGCTGTTTGCTATTTCGCAAAGAAAGTGTCGCAAAATGGTCGAAAGATTGTATCAAGGAAATGTTCATCGAAGTAAGACGATGGACTAGTTTAACAATCGTCACGATTCTTGAATAAGCAATGCTAAAATACTTTCTACTTTTACAAAAAGTACTTGCATTACAGTTACGTCGATTGAAAAATCTTCCCTCCAACAGAAGTGTCGAAAAATCGTGTTAGAAATGATAGATTGAACTCAGAACGATCTAACTCGTTAACGATCGATCTGTTCACCGCTCTACTGAGCCTATCGGACTAGTTTCGCCGAAACAACGTTGCCGGGAATGGCAAGGACGCCGATGTGGACGCGTCGCGACGAAAGGAACCGGCGCACCGGTTGAGAAACCGCCTCTTTTCACCGATTACTCGCGCACAATACGTTAATGAGCGACTGTTCGTTGCTTAACTTGTTCGCCTTACACAAGGGAACTCGTGGCCAGCTCCGCTGTGTTGTTATACGCGAGGGAGAGAGAGAGAGAGAGAACGGGTTCATTGTAGGCTGGCACACGATCGTTATACAACAAATTCGCGCTCGTATTTCCGCTCGATCCTTTCGGCAACGAGAATTAACATGTAACTGGACCGTTTTGACGGGCTCTTTCGATTACGATCTAGGGGACTTTAAGAGAGCAGAACGGCGTATAATAACCGTAAAATCTGAAGGAAAGTAACAGTAAGAGAAAGATACGTCTCGTCTGTGGCAATCGTGTGCTGGTAACGAACGGAGAGAACCTTCACGGCGATTTCAATTCTTCGCCGAGTTACATCAAAAACGAGTTGCGTTCGTAACCGAATTTTATTTTCCAAGCGAGGAGAAAAAAAGAAAAGAAAAGAAACGTACAACTGGATCGTTCCAATCTCTGATACGCATTTCTTTTTCTTCTTTTACCTCTCCACTCTCTCTCCCTCTCTCTGTGGCACGCGGTGAACGCGGGTGAAGTTCGAGCACGATCGGTTTCGTAATAGGAATCGTTGCACAATCGACGGACGTCCGGCGATACAGATCGATCGGGGGAGGAACCCGCTTCGCCTCACGAAGGCCGTTCACGACGGCGAAAAGGAAATCGATCGGCCTGGGAAAACGTTTCTCGTTAGGACTCGCGGTGAATTAACTTCGTTTCACAAATACCAGGATTAATTAAAGCATACGGAGTAGCCAGAAAGTTACGTTATCCCACGTGTGTAACAGTTATGAGCGACACGTAATCGCTTTGAAATACTCACCTCTCCAGCAGCGGATCGTCTTCGGTTTCCTTACTGGGAGATCCGCCTTCGGGGCAGCCTACGTTACGTGGCCAATCGCATGTCTGCAACTCGTGGCTGTGGAAAAGAAAGCAACGTAAATTCAACCGGTTGATAGTTTGGAGATTGTACGTTGGAGATAGTGAAGAACCGAATCCTTCGAAAATAGACGCGATGGAAATGAATTTTTCCATTTTTTCCAAGGATCCTCGAAGATCCAGCGAATTTGGAGTCGCGGTTCAGGTAAGTTTACGAGCATCCTTAATTGGAGCTCTAACCATCAAGCGTACCTTAGGCCAGTGCAGGCCGGTTTTATAGCGAACTCGTTTGTACGCACTGTCGTATCGAGAGAGGTGTGGCACTCTGATTTTTTTTCCAGGGTTATGCGTACGGCTACGACCCCCTTTTACCTCGTAAGTCCAGATCGAAAGTGTACCCAGGATCGTAATCGCGTCCTCTGACACCCTCGTTCGTGATACATTCCAGAAACCTCGACATTCCTCGCTTCGATATTAACACTTAAGTTCCTCGTAATTTGCGAGCCGTGTTCGAAAATTGAAATGCACGGTGCCGTGTCATCGTACAACGTTTAACGAAAAAAGATTAGCTCGTTTAAGGGAGGTCGTTCACCCGTGGATCTTCGCGACAACTTCTCTATATTATTCGCCCACCGTGTACTTTTTTCCTCCTATGGAACAGGTTTCCGTTGATCGTCGATTCTAAATCACACGAACGGAATCCTTTTATCCGCTATCAACGTGCCACACGAAATTCCATGAAATACGCGCCTACACGCGATCGTTTAAATTTCAATTGGAAGAGTAAAAGGCCGCGTGTGTGCGGCGTTATCGAGTGTCCCGTGAGTTGTGTAGCCTGTCTAGGTGGACGTTTTAAAGCGTTTCCGCAGGAATTTCGTCCGGTACCGACGTCGGGGGCAAGAAATAGAAATCTCCGCGGAATCTCGCAATACACGGGCCCTGGGAATACAGGAGAGCACGTCCATTAAACCTGTCTATATCTGGACGACAATACGCTCCGGCTACAGGGTTTCAAGCTTTTGATTCGCGACGCCTCGGTATTATTCGCTCGCGTTTCAATTCGCCGCGCCGCTAATTTTCTCGCCATATTAGTCGATCGGTAGATGGATCGCGTACACGATTCTGGCTGTTTCTTTGCACGTGCGCGCCTCTTCTCGATCGTAGATCCGTTCTCGTTCGAGGAAAAACGATTGCGCGACGCGGAGTGTTTCGACGAATTAGATTCTTATTCTTTTTCTGAAGCTAGGTAGGAAAGTGATACAGGATAGGGCGTTTCGTCCTGGGCCTCCTGGTGGACTCGTCGGTAAGGCTTTCTAGGAGACCCGTGCCTTAGGCGCGGGAGGGACGCTTTAAAGAAGATTTTTCCTCACCTGTACATCAATCCCCCCGTGCAGGACTCGAGCAACGCACCGCCAAACACGCAGACGTAGTATTGCGTGCAGTCGCGCGGATGAGGGTAGTATCCGAACTCCTCCGGGCACTCGAATTCCAAAGCTGCCTCGTTCCTGCTCGCCCTGGCGTTTCTCGGGATGTTTCGTTGACATTCTACCGAACAAACGAAAGAAACTCTTTGTTAGTCTTGAAACATTCTCCGAGCTCGGTCACATTCGAAGAAACGTGCCTCCTCGCTACGGTTCACCTAATACACACTTCTTATTCCGCCCCCGCAGCACAAGTACACTAATAAAAAGAGACAAAACGAGAGAGATACTGTCAACGAGGCCCCGATACACACGGTGAATTATAGCGTATGCACGGTATCTTAGCGTGGATCTGTTAGCGTAGTAGAACGTGAGCGGTACCCAAAGAGGATTGCGTAACCCGGAGAACAAGCAACCGGATTTTCGGCCGACCTTGCGTATTCACGCAGTCGAGAAACTCGAACAGCCGTGTATATAGACGGTTCGTTAATCCGCGAAAACTGGAGAGACCACGAAAGTAGGAAACGAAATCCGAAAACGTATTTTTCGTAACCCGCCGAGAGGCGAACAACGACGTGGTAGCGATTCCACGAACACAACCTTTCATCAGGAGCATAACGAGGCGAGGAAAACGCGAAAGGACGCGACGCGTTGCGTCTAATAGCGGTTGCGGTGCCACTTCGTTACCAGCTAAATAGACACGCTATCGTTAAAAACCGTTTCTGCGTTCTCTCTACTATTGTTTCGCCTGGCGGCGGATTCGATTATCCCACTAAAGCTTTCTGGCACAATTTCATCGTGGGACCGCCACCACCGACGCTGCAACGACGAATTGATTTGTTGGAAACGTGACTTGCGCCATTCCACAGCCTGCCACTTTCCACGTGAGAATACGCGTTCGTTACAATAACGCTACGCCTGGTTGCCTGTATGTAAATCTTTTTCTACTCGTTTTCTTACCGTTTGTGTAACGGCGCTGCGTTAACGGCGGGGTGGGGCGGCACTTACGGTCGAAAAATTTGTGAAATGTCCCGGTTTAACCGGGGAGAAATCGAAATACAGTTCTTCCCTTTCTTCTCTCGAAGAAGGAAGACTCGGTTAACCGAAGTTCGTTTGCGCGAGCGTGGATAGAAAATGGATACGAGGGAAAAAGCGAGAGAAGAGGGGAACAATCGAAAGTTCGTTACTGTTTATTTACCGATTTTTTCCCCGATCGAAAGCAATAGAAAACCACGTGCATCGAAAGCATTTCTGGGTCAGCGTTTTTGCGCTCGACGGAGCTAAAAGGCGCGGTGAAACCGGCGTGTTTCTTTCGCCTTCCCATGAGCGGCGAGGGAACAACAAAGCGGTTGCATAATTGTCATTAGGCGGCGCGCATCTAACTTGGCGGCACATTCTGATGAATTTTCATTGCTCGATATTCCGCGAGCGTTCCACACCGGTGAACATTTTTCTATCGCGCGAGGAATTCGGTAAGTCTAATTGGAAACGCCAGGAAGGAAAGGGTCGGGTAATGACAACGGCGTGGACGCAATCGATCAGCGGGAACGCGTCTAATTAGATCAAGACCGGTCGAGATCGAGACTCTTGGATCGAATGACGAATTCTTTCGTAAGGGGTTTATACACACCCTCGTTGCCTCAAGAAATCTACAATTCTTTCCGCTATCTTTCCCTTTCGATTCAGCAATTCTTTGTTGTCAAATAAAATATTCGATTGATTTTCGGGGTAAAATGGCATTCTTAGCTTAAGGTATAACTATACAGAGGCTCGCATAAAAGAGATTTAACATTCTTTCGTATTCCTGAATTTTACACAACTTTTACTTTATCCCTCCTTATCTAGAAATCGCCTTTTTTGACTTAACATCAATTTCGCATTAAACGACTCGTTTATTGAAATAGACGGGAAATAAATCCCGGTATGTAAATTAGACATAGGCTACCGCATAGTACAGTAAAATCTCTACAAGAGTCAGTAAGGTTGGATTCTACAAGTGACAGTATAGATGGTCCTACGCCTAAGCTGCGTCATTGCTGCGCCCATGTTATCTCGCTGACAGTCAGTCAAACGTGTAACGCTACACCAGTCGGTTTCCTTTACGAGATTTCACGGCTCCACAAATCATAATAGAAAAATATAATTTCTTTAATTTTACTTTTTTTCATCTGAAATTTTTTTTAACATCTGATGAAAATGATATCAAACACGATATAATTTGAACAACATTCACTTATTAAAACGTTCACTGTCACGCCAGATTTACAGGTTGCTGTCAGGCGGCCACAAGAAAATACATTTAAAGCATTGGATTATAGAATTATGCTTTATAATTTTTTTTTTTTCAATTGAAAATAATGTCTAGCTAGCTATGACGTTCCAAATTTTTAGTTGACAACATTTATTTTATTTTAATTACTCTGAACATTTGAGGCACTCCAGTCACTGATGACCACCATGGCCGTATCGAGGAAACAATCTAATGTTAATACTTATTGAGTGATTAATTTAATTTCATAATATATCGCTTTGAATAAATTACCAAAACAAATTGCTAAGAAATTACAGTAAATACCGGAACACATTATCCGTCGAATGTAGAGGGAGAGCCACCGTTTATCACATAGAGTCGGATCACATAGAGTCGGCCTAC